TTATTTTTTCTTATATGCGCTTTGTAAAAAAATAATTTTCTATGCGCTCCTATACCATTTTTCAGAATGCGATAAAAATTTAGTGAGATGTTGTTCTATCGCCCACAAAGGTTCTTAAATTACTACAACCGTTTTAAAATATTGAGTTTTGAGCCAGGGGCCCTATGTTTGTTTTTTACAAAATGAGCTATATAAATATAATTTCAAACCGCATGCGCTCCTACATCATTCAAGCGCTTGCGATAAAACTGAGGTGAGTTGTTGTCCATAAGCCAGAGCATTTTTCTAAGCCATTATAACTCTACTAAAATATTCCGGTTTTTTGGCAATCGCCCCAAATTCGTGTTTTTTTCTTTACATTAGGAGCTTTAAAAAAAATAATTTCCGTATGCGCTCCTCTACATTATTACAATACGATAAAATTTTTGAGAGATTTCGTGCGCGCGCCCGGCCGAAAAGGTTTCTTAAATGATTACAACCATTTTAAAAAACTCCGTTTTTAGCCAGGGGTCCTATGTTCGTTTTTTTCTATATAAGCTATACAACTATAATTTTAAGCTATACAACTATAATTTCAAACAGAGCTAAAGCATGAATGGATAGCTTTTTAATGAAATACAAATAGTGATATTAAATTGAGTGTGTGACATATTAAGTAGGTTTCTGAAGTAATACAACAATTCTACAATATTCCATTTGTGGAGGTGTCCTAAATTCATTTTCCACACTACTATTATCTATATAATTATACTATGCATTTCTATACCATTCATTCGATTGTGATCAAACTGGGTCAAGTGAAATGCGCACTACCGAAAATGTTTCTAAATTAGAAAAAAACATCTTACAATATTCCGTTTGGACCAGTGACCCTAATTTCATATTTTCTTCTAAGAGCTTTGTAACTATAATTTCAAACAGAGCTATTGCATGTGTGGAAGTAGCTGAATCCGCCGGCAAATTTTTCAAATTTAGTACATCCATTGTACAATATTCCAATTAGGGCTGGGGACCCTAAATTCAATTTATTTTCTTAAATGAGCTTCATCAATATAATTTATAATTGAGATATCAACACTACCACCCTTGAACAAATGACACATTTGTAGTAAAGCAGAGAAAATACGTTTTTACATTATTAGGGTAGAGAGTATTTTTGTTATGTGTATAAATAAGCTTGAATTTTGTGACGCATTTTAGAATCGGAAAGGACATCGAAATCGCGTTTTTTTTTTTCAACTAAGAGTATTTCTTGAATAGAGTCTTATAATTTATGAGTTGTTTTGTGCTATGTAAATACATTTTACACCAATCGATGGTTTCTCAAGTAATTAAATAACACACTTGACAGCGTAGATATTGAACTATGGTCATTTTTTACTGCTGGAATTTACGATTTATAAATTAATGAGAAAATATACAACTGGAAATCTCCTGCCAACAATGAACGTACCTATTGTGCGAGGTTTTCATGTAAAAAGATGGGAGATCCTAACGTGTGAGAATTACATTCACCATCAAAACAATTATCATTGTTGGTATAAGGTGACAATAGCCAATCGAAACATTTCTTGGCAAACATACGCAAATGCAATTCATGTTTCCAAATGAAATCGTTCGGTGCAACAAATATCGTGCGCGAGAATTACATGCCAACATTTAAAGTAAAGTGAAAGGCCAAATTTACCATCGTGTAGGATCTCTGATGCCAATGCCAAACACAGATCACAAATGTCTTCAAATGATTTCATGGGGAATACTGATGAGCAAATCGATCAACGTTGTCATATCAATACGGGCACTAAACGAGAAATCGTCGCTGCAATGCAAACGTTATTTTTGCAACACAACGAATTAATTCAAATGTATAGAGTTGCACTTGAAAAAAGTTAGAGCAGACCTGTCGGCCAACATGAAAGACAATACAATGCACCAACAATTGATGAAGTGGCGATCATTATAGTTGGCAAAGAATTTAACTCAAGTGATATAATTCTTCATCGCAGAAGTGTTGATGTTCAGCGAGTCTCAGAAACTCATCGCTCATACGTTTGATTGCAATATCCTATTTTATTTTGGCAAGGAGAAGATGGATATCATTTTGACATCAAATTGAGAAATTCGAATAAGAAAGACAGTGCCATGAAATACTATTCATATCGATTGATGATTCATGAGTTGGGAATGACCTCTCGGAATCGATCTGCAAACAAACTTTTCGCTCTTGATTTGCAACGAGAAACGCACTTTGATATCGAAGCATTAGGTACGGTACATTTTTTCAGATGAATCTTCCAAAATTGGTTCCATTGAAGTTACTATTTTAAATGGACAATTTAAACTAGGTGATGTACTTTTGCCATTCACCCTAATGATTCTAACAGATATGCCATTTGAATTCAAACGCCTACAGTTTCGGATGCGACACGCGTCTACAATAACTATCTACAAAGCAAAGGGACAATCGCTACAAGTTTGCGGACTAAATTTGGAAAATCCATGCTTCGACCATGGACAGATGTATGTGGCCTGCTCTCGCGTCGGAAAATCTTCTGATTTATTTGTGTATATACCAGGTGGAAAAACGAGAAACACTTTGAGTATTTAAAAGCTCTTGAAGAAACATAAATAAAATGCAAACACTTTCTTTCTTTGAGTGGCTTTGCAACGCATGCCGGGTTCTCGCTAGTATATTATACTCTTACAATCTTTGTCATGTTTACACGGCCGCCAATATATTATACTTTTAAAAACTTTGTCATGTTTACACGGCCGCCAATATATTATACTTTTACAATCTTTGTCATGTTTCCACGGCCGCCAATATATTATACTTTTACAATCTTTGTCATGTTTCCACGGCCGCCAATATATTATACTTTTACAATCTTTGTCATGTTTCCACAGCCGCCAATATCCAAATCGATTTCAATCCTTGCCATAGCACAAACATTAAGAAGTGCAACACAAAATATGAGATGGCTTCCGCTACTGGAGATTGCAAGTAAGTAGATACTTATGTTTGTGCTGTTGATGAAACAATGTATAGCTAGCATATATTTTACGTTTTTGGTTTTAAAACAATTTATAGGTAGCATAAATTTTAAGTTTATACTATCGAAACAATTTATAGCTAGAATACATTTTATAAGTTTGTGCTCTTGAAACAATTTATACCTAGTATACATTGTTAGTATGTTCTCATGAAAAATGCATATTTACCAGATATTGTTGGTGAATGTTGTTCTAAGAACTAATTGCTACCAGAGAGTGTTGGTGAATGTTGTTCAAAAAATTTATTGCAACCTGGCATTGTTAGTGTATATTATGCAAACAACTTTTTGCTACCACAGATTTTAATGCATGCTGTTCAAATAGCTTATTTCTACCAGAGGTTTTTGGTGGATATTACTGAAACAACTTATTGCTACCTAAGATGGTTATTTAATGTTTTTAAATCTCCTAATTGCTACAAGAGATTGTTAGTGCATGTTATTACCTCAGCGTCTTAGTATGAAAAAGAAAACAGAAGATTTAGTTAAGCAATTGATGAACAAAAACAAGCTCAAATTGAGCGATGAAAGGACCGAGCTGATTCCCATTGCTACCTATCAAAAGCTACAATCTGTAAGTAACACACCAACCCTTACGCACTCAGGTATACATATTGAGTTTGCTCAAACAGTGTGAGCCTGGGTGTATACTTGGATAGAAAACTAACTATGGGAAATAACATTTACATGCTTTGCAAGGGGATTTTTCTTGAGCTGCGCAGAATTAGTCATATCAGACCTTTCTTAACGTGTGATGCAACAAAGAGGCTTATGTCTGCATTCGTGCGATCACGCATGGATTATTGCATTGCTCTCATGGTGGGTATTCCAGCTACGCTCCTGGATAAAATTAAAAAATTACAGAATAATGCGGCTCGCATTGTTTTTCACAAACGCAAGTTTGACTATGCTAAAACACTTCTGAGAGAGTGGCATTGGCTGCCGGTCCACGGTCGCATAGAGTACAAAATTGCAACTCTGTGCTACCGCTGCTGCATGACCTGGCGCCGTCCTATCTCAAAGCGCTCATGACGCCTTATGTACACGCTAGACAACTCCGCTCATCCGATAGAGGCAAACTCTCGATACCACGTGTTCACTTTGAGACTTACGGAAGGCCCACGTTCTCATTTGCTGACCCAACAATTCGGAACACTCTTTCTGTCGCTCTTAGAAACACCCAGACACTGGAGTCTTTCAAAACTGATTTTTAAAACATATCTATTTCGCAAACACATGCTGGGGTGATGTTGTCTACCATATTTTCCAGCCGGCTATTCTATCCTAGATGTATAGTGGCCTGTGTTGTTTATGGTTGCAAGGGATGAAAGACTTAGAACGGGTACTCTCGTATCTAGTTTTTGTAATGTTGCGTTTTGTATTTTAATGTAGTAAAATATAGATTTTTTCATTTCTCTTTTAATATGGATTACTTTGTACCACGGTTCGACCTTTGGGGATCAAGCGTGATTTTCAAATAAGCTGTATTTTTATTTTATTAAACAACGTATTGCTACCAGAGATTGTTAGTGCATGTTTTTTCAATATTCCCCCGTGAAAAATCTATCTCTTATTTAGAGTACTACAATAAAGTACTTCCATGACACATCTCAGTTTCGATGGGTGCCAAATTGTCTTTCAGTAGCTAGATTTAACACTCACCTCACAACGGGGAGTGAATTGTCTCTCCATAGCTAGATTTAACTCTTATCTCACAGCGAGAAGTGATATTATCTTCAAAAAAAAAATAGATTTAACATTATTTGCACCGGAGAGTGACATCATTGATCCAAATAGCTAGATTTAACACTCATGTAACTTTCATGAAATGTCACTACTTTTCTTCCGCTGACCGATTGCTACATTAATTTCATCCACTCCATTATGACCCAACATGGCTAAGAAATAACTTAATTTTTTTTTTTTTAAATCCTAAAATAGACAGATCGAGAAGAGTGCAACCTGTTTGAAGCAGGTCTTAGACTCCTGTTCCTGGCAATCTTTTACTCAGGTCTTCCATCTAAGCAATTTTGACCACATACAAAACTCGATGAAATGTAAGTGATATGATCGTCTTAATGAGGAGTAGGGTTGGGGCGGGAAGAGAATGGGTGAAATAAGAAATGAGATGTAGCGTCATTTGAGTGAGGAGGGATATGTCCCTCATATTTTGTAGGAGGGATATTCAACTTAATTTAGGGGTGGAGGGAGATTTGACTAAATTTGGTTTTAGGAGCAATATGTGACTCAATTTTGGGTTTGGAGAAACATTTGACTAAATTTGGTTGTAGGGGCAATATGTGACTAAATTTAGAAGTAGGAAGGAGATTTGACTAAACTTAGGTGATGGAGGGAATTTCGAATAAATTTAGGTGATTGAGGGAGATTTGACTAAATTTAGGTGTTGAAGGGAGATTTTTTTAAATTCAGGTGATGGAGAGAGATTCGACTAAATTTAGGTGTAGAAGGAGACTGGACTAAATTTGGTTGTAAGGCAATATGTGACTAAATTTAGGTGTAGGAAGGAGATTCGACTAAATTTAGGCGTAGGAAGGAGATTTGACTAAATTTGGTTGTAAGGGCAATATGTGACTAAATTTAGATGTTGGAAGGAGATTTGACTAAATTTAGGTGATGGAGGGAGATTCGACTAAATTTAGGTGTAGGAAGGAGATTTGACTAAATTTGGTTGTAGGGGCAATATGTGACTAAATTTTGGTGTGGGAGGAAGATGTAGCTAATTTTTTGTTTAGGAGGGAGATGTGAGTAAATTTAGGTGTACGGGTGAGATGGGCTAAATTATTATGTAGGAGGGAGATGGGATGATCGAAGATTGAAGATTCATTTTCTGACCGCGTTCGTTTTGTTACCTGTCTGGTACTGTGACAGGCCCACAATAAATAACCATTTGGAAGGGAAGTTACACTTGGTAGCATGTGATAGGGAGAAGAAATTACACGATACTTCAGGGTGATGAATGCCATTAATTATCAAATCTAAGAATATCATTATGAATTATAGCAAAGAATACCATGGTGTATCAAAGCTAAGAAGGTCGACATTGAATAAAGAATAAGATTTCACGATTGACCAAAGCAAAGTATGTTATTGTTGATCATATGAAAGGATATCAAGATTGATCAAAGCAAATAATGCAATGATTGAACAAATCAAATCTGTTCATGATTGATCAACAATCTTTGTCATGATTCTTCAAAGCAAATAATGTCCTGATTGATAAAAGCAAAAAATATCATGATTTATTACAGAAAAAATATCATGATTATTTAGATAAAATATGCCATGATTGCTCTCATATAAAAAGAAAGATCAGTTTGATCAGGACAAAGAGAAGCATGATATATCTGGGTTTTTTTCATCACTAATGACGACTAAAGTAATCTCCATGTGCGTGGCTGGGTGGTCGAGTGATGTAAACTGAATCAATCACAAGCTTGTGATCAGGAACTCAAACCCAACCAAATACCATGTCAAGCTAAAACAACACCAGCACCCGGGTGGATGGGACTCATTTAACTTGGTTGGGAACTACTCATCTAAAAGTAGCACCCAAGATAGATGGGAACTTTTAACCTTGTTGGCAACTCATCTTACAACAGTACCCGGGATAGATGTGACTAATTGATCTTGATTGGCAAATCATCTGTCACCAGCACCCAGGATGGGTATAACTCATTAACCTTGGTTGCCAACTCATCTAACATCAGTATCCAGGATGAACGGGACCCATTAATTTTGGTTGGCAAATCAGCTGTCACCAGCACCCAGGATGGGTATAACCCATTAACCTAGGTTGGCAACTCATCTAATACTAGCACCCAGGATGGATTGGACCCATTGACCTTTGTTGGCATTTCATCTAAGATATGGGACACATTAACATTTGTTCATTCGAGAGAAGAAAACTCTGAAACGGAAACACGGAGCAGTCCCGTATGATACAGTAATGTGATGCAAAATTCCGACACATCCTGCAAGACATTCCGAGCCAAGCTGTATCATCCATCATGTATGGTCTTTCCTTTGTCTCTTTCTCGCGTGGGTAGTGGCGATTTGCTGTCAATAGAAACAGCGTATGCTTGGGTTTTACAAAACAAACAAAAAATATTTTCATCTATAAAGTTGATGATTTTTCTCTTTCCAGGTCTTCCAAATCTTTTTACTGAAAATTACGAGTACTAAAATAAGGAACCTTAAAAATTAAGGGTGCTACTATTCGTACCCGGGTACCAGAAGTGAGATGTTAGGATTAAAATCTATTAAAAATATTATGGTTGGGTTTGTAAAAAAAAAATGATGTATCAAATGAAAGATAATTGAATGGACTCTATGTGTGTAATTTTACTTCTTCAGTTTAACTAAAATAAACTACAACTAAGGGCATCCGAATAACTCGGGTGCGAATGGCGGCACTGCTTGTCTAGGTCCATTTTGACTCTTAGCTATTCGGATGTCATTTGTGGTAATTTATTTTAGTTAAACTGATGAACTAAGTTTACAAACACATAGTCCATTCAATTGTCCATTATTTGATACCTCATTTTGTCTTACAAACCCAACAATAAAATTATAATAGTTTCTTAATCCCAACCTTTCACTTCTGGTACCCGGGTACGAATAGCTGCTTCGAAAAATTAAAATATTTTAAGTTTATTTTGTGTTTGTTAATGCTTTCTTTAAAATTCGGTGAATACACAAAGACAGCTATTGTGACCAGTCAAGATTTGTGGCATGTCTAGTTTTGTTACCTGTCTAGGTTTGTGACATGTCTAGGTTTGTGACCAGTCTAGGTTTTTGACCAGTCCAGGTTTTTGACCAGTCCAGGCTTGTGACATGTCAAGGTTTGTGACCAGTCTAGGTTTGTGACCTGTCCAGGTTTGTTACATGTCTTACTTTGATAACATGCCTTGTTTTGTGGCTTGTGTGATATGAATCAGAAATGGATCAAATCATGTCATGTGAGTTTAAAAACAATGGACCTGTTGCAATGCATTAGTAAATTAAAAGTAAAGACCAATTGTCATAATACATGCACATTAGGAATTAACTGTCAGAATACATACATTAGACGGATTATTTGTAACAATACTTAAAAGATGTTTAGACCAACTGTCAAAATGCATAAAACAAGTAAAGTCATTCCTAGTTCATCGCGGAATTCAGTTCCAGACTTTATCGCTTTCATCCCATTTCCGCAAAGAGAGATGATTTATTTATAAATCTAAATTTTTTGTAGTCAGATGTTACGCAGTGGCTTCTCTTGTGAGAAATTGATCTCATACTTTAATTTTATGGCGCGTTCAAACAGTGCCTGACAAAGGACGATACCATAGATAAATACAATAAAATTACGACACCCAAATCAGTTCAAATTACAATTAATAAGATTTAATTTTGTAATAATACAATTACAAAACAAAAGAAATATAATTACAAATCATCAACTTACAGAGTATCGGAAAATCTTTTACCGGTACACAATTAGTACAATGTGGCAATTAATAATGATGAATAATGAATGCGAATAAACACATATGAGCACACAAAGAATACAAAAATTGTCTCGTACAGTTAATAATATCTATCTCCGTCTATCTTATTCTCCGTCTGATTCTCTCTCTCCGAAACCCTTTGTTTATATTGTGGGTCTACGGACGCGTCCAGAAACGCCTTTGCTTATCTAATACAATCGCGAACATTTGACAAAACACCACTAATAACAAATTAATTATTTTTAGTTGCTGTCGGCAATAAACACGACAGATCAAAATACTAAGCCACGCCCATCAATGAACGTAGCGTCTCATGTGGGGTCAACCAGAGTTCACGCACGAGGAAAGTGTTGTAAACAAGCTCTACATAACACAGCACATAGAAAACGGTTCTCGACCCTCTAAACTATTAAATACTGTCTTTAAGTTTTTTTATTCCCTCAAGGTTGCCTTAATAAATGGGGCTAAGACCTTACGTAGTGTAATTTTAATTATGATAATAATATAGGGGTGTATAATTGACCACGGAGCGCGTGCTGTATCATTTTCACCATCTCCATCAAAGTTTTATGAATACATCTTATATTTCCACATAATAAAACACGAAAAACCTAGACATGTCAAAGTGTAGCCGCGAAATTTGAGGCTTGAAATTGCGAGTGACTACTGTATGAGGTAATGTCATAACACGTGTAAAAGTGTAATGTAGCACTTATTAGACTACTGTATGAGGTAATGTCATAACACGTGTAAAAGTGTAATGTAGCACTTATTAGAAACAAAAGTTAACACGCTCTGATTATCACTTCGGCACATACACACCCTATGTGTGCTGGTTCCTAACCTCTTGTTTCGTCAGTCATACTCGGTGACTAACCATCCAGTGACCAACACATAAAAATGTCTTCATTGTTCCCCTGAGAGTTCTATAGAAGGCAGTGTGATAAAAAGTCGTCTAGGGATAGGTCCCTTTTCCAACGGCCACAAACAACAACACTATCGACTCAGAATCTGAATCTAAAGTCCGTTTTCGTTCTCTCTGATAAGAACTTCATGATGTGGTTCAACTAAAAGTATACTTTAATTATTCATTCTATGTGCCAAGAGGCAATGCACAACAAACAAATAAGCAACATTATTGTTCACATGTGACATAATGGAATTTCCAGAACTTCGCGCAAACAATCACTAATTTATTACTTTAAAAAAAAGGGCAGCGTTACGTCCATAAGACTTCTCCGAACCAATATATTGCACCATCGGAAATGTGTCTTAGCGCATTGACGACTGAGCAAAAGTGGTGCGAGACATGGGGAAGTCCCAAAGGAAAACATCCTTGCTCACAGAAACAATAATACATAAAAACTATATCAGGTGATATTACCGTGACAGCAGGTCCCATATAAACTACTCGTTTTAATATGATACAGATGACTGGTATAAAGCAAAATTAGTTCTTATTTATTTCACCAGTCTATCTGGCCGCTTCGTAAATAAAAGACATGCTATCTCCTTGTGTACATTATAGTTTGTGCTTGTAATGATCCAGTCCTGTTCATTATTGATATAGATATGTATTCTTTTACCTTAATTATGTATCAAGCTTATGGCATTGACCATTAAAATGACAGCACAAAAGTAATACATACGGTCACACGTCATGTCTTCTACAGTGGCACGTGTGCGTGCGTTTGCACTATCAGAACTAATTTATATAGTCCTAGTTATACACAATGAACTGCGTCAAGTTAAACATCAACTTGGCGTGTACACAAGTATCCATTTTGGTTTAAACATTACGCATTCATCAAAACCAGATTTGTGTTTAAAAAATTTAAGTGCCTCACTTTTATTTTTATTGCTACAGAAAGTTGAAATTTGAGAGCTTATGTTGTTGTTTTTTTTAATGTTCATGTTAAAAAAAATATGTGCATTAAAAAAACTGCATAGAATTTGCGAATCACGTGACAAATGACAAGCAAACTCTATGCAAATTGTCAGATATTTTAGAAATTCAGAAATAATATGTTTATTATAAATATACCGATAGTTTTTTTGTATAAGTTTTTATAACCATTTTTTTTCCGTACACTACTGGATGGTTTAATTATGAGACTTGCTTAAGTGAAAACATTTATAAAAAAACGAATAAAAATACGTTAACAGTTTCAATAAAAGAACAAGAAAGGAACGATAAAAACTCGTTCTATTCTAATTATTTTGTTAGTATACTTCGGAAATGCATGACGTCACATAGTCGATTCCCAAAGCGTTTCATTTAAGTTCCACTAATGAACTAAACGAATGAGAACCGCTAACAACCGAACTAGCGAACATTAGAACCATTACCACATGCCAACAAGAGAAGCTTTACTCAAGGTGAGAGCCACTGTTCATCTTTCCCTGGTTGAGAGCCCCTGATCTTAGTGGCTGAGGGACAAATGTCACATGTCAGTAGAGGTTTCAGTAATTGTGACATCACAGCCAAAATGATGACGTAGTGCTGTCCTGGAGCAGCACAGACCCCGAGCTCACTCAAATCTTTTTGTCCACCAAACAGAAAATTGAAATGTTAAAAAGGTGGGCATATAAGGGCAGATCATTCTAATGCGCTGCCTGGGCGAATTTTGTTCCGGCACAAATCCTTGCTTTACACCACCTGTTGACACGTCTACGTAACTCTGATGAAGAGATTTCTTGCGGCTCTGTCCATTGTTAACTCCCTTTTACTTAGCTTAACTGGTGTAAGAATGACGGTTGGTGTTGTCTCATGTCTGCGGCAACAAACACTGTTGACGTTGCAACGGCACCCATGAAATTAATGCTCGGTTGAAATATCTTTAGGAAAACCCAAGTTCCCGTCTTGCCCACACGTATTTTCCTAACTGTGATCATCACAACTTTTTGGCACGAGATTTACTTTACTTCAATCCAAATGTCCAGACTTGATGTTGGGGTCAAGTCGAGCCCCAGAGAAATGTCTGCCAACACGACGGACGAGTGCATGAGAACTAATAAAATAAGAAGGAATTATTTAAGAGAAAACCACGTTCATTACGTTTGTTTGATGCACTGCAACAGGATAGCATATTCAAAGGGTAAATTTTAATTTTTTTGTACTTGTCATTACAAGTATGAGCAGGCAAGTTTATAAGCTTGTTACAAGTTATTAATCAAGGAAATAAATTTTTACTCGTACGATAGGTCAGGGTAATGAGCTTATTACAATTATTGATTAATTTATTAGTTGATAATGACCTTAACAACAAAAAGTTTGAAGAACGTTAAATGACAGATGACAGACAGACAGTGTTTATTTTGTATAGGCAATACACAAAACTATAAAATTTTGAACACAAAAATTTAAAGTTATATTTAAAAGAAAATATATTTATTTCATGAGCCATTTAGTAGAAAATATAATTTTAGTAAAAAATAGCAAGTCAATGTGGTGACGAAATCATGCTGTTCTTATAAGTTCAAAGTTCATCCTTATCCTCATGTACCTTAGTCCTTGTTCCGTTGGGGCGCCACAGATGACATGTGAACCATCCTCCTCCATTCCTCTCTGTCTTCAGCACTACGCACTGCATCGCCTAGTGATAGTCCTGTCCACTCTTTGATGTTATCCTCCCATCTTTTTCTTTGTCTTCCTCTTCTTCTCCCTCCTCTTGTGGTGCCCTGCAATATTTCTTTGGCAAGCCCTTGTTTCCTTGTTACGTGGCCGTACCATTGTAACCAGTAGGTCATCATACTCCTCAATTGCCTTGCGAACCCTTTCTTTCAATGTGTCATCGGAGATGTGGTCCCTATAGCAGATGCCTAAAATTCTTCTGAAACATCTCATCTCCATCGCCTTTATTTTCCTTTATAGATCGGCTGTTTCAAAGTACAAAGCACTCAAAATACCTTCTCGATACACCCCTCTCACCCAATTTTTTTTTCTACAGGGCGAATTATTCCCCTTTAATTTTTTTTTTTTTTTCACAAACATTGCTTACTTAACTCACTGACAATTTGAAAAGCGGATTAAACTACGCAATGGAAAACAGAGCTTCCTCCCCCACCCTAACACCCCCCCCCAATATTAATATTATAAAGCTTCTATCCCCCTCGATGCCTTGATCTGAATTCGTTGTCTTCGGAAAGGGATATTTTAGATCAAGAATATTAGAAAATGTGCGATTTTCTTTTCTTATTTCATCCTTCCCAATGTTGCCTTGTTACTAGAGCGCCGTATTGCCACACAGCACGAATCTCCTCATCTTAGGCTGGTTTCCAGGAGCTCCACCCAGTACCAAGGCTTGGCCTGCAACCCTAGGACCAACCACTGGTAAAATCTTTCCCCACGACAGACACATGGCTGGGACGTCCACACAAACATCTTAACGTACAAGCGAAGAGCTATTCCACTACGTTCAAGGGCAGAGCTAATCCACCACGTACAAAGGCAGAGCTATTCAACTACCTACAAGGGCAGAGCTATTCAAATACGTACAAGGGCAGATCTATTCCACTACATACAAGGGCAGAGCTATTCCACTAGGTACACGGTCAGTATTATTCCACTACCTACAAGGGCAGAGCTATTCAACTACGTACAAGGGCAGAGCTATTCCACTACGTACAAGGGCAGAGCTATTCCACTACGTACAAGGGCAGAGATATTCCACAACGCACAAGTGCAGAGCTATTCCACTACCTACAAGGGCAGAGCTATTCCACTACGTACAAGGTCAGATCTATTCCACTACGTTCAAGGGCAGAGCTATTCTACTACGTACAAGGGCAGAGCTATTCCACTACGTACAAGGGCAGAGCTATTCCACCACGTACAAGGGCTGAGCTTTCCACTACGTACAAGGGCAGAGCTATTCCACTACGTACAAGGGCATAGTTATTCCACTACGCACAAGGGCAGAGCTATTCCACTACGTACAAGGGCAGAGCTATTCCACTACGTACAAGGGCAGAGTTAATCCACTACGCACAAGGGCAGAGCTATTTCCACTACGTACAATGGCAGAGCTATCCCACCAAATACAAGGGCAGAGCTATTCCAATACGTACAAGGGCAGAGCTATTCCACTACGTACAAGGGCAGAGTTATTCCACTACGCACAAGGGCAGAGCTATTCCACTACGTACACGGTCAGTATAATTCCACTACCTACAAGGTCACAGCTATTCCACTACGTACAATGGCAGAGCTATTCCACTACCTACACGGTCAGAGTTATTCTACTACTTACAAGGGCAGAGCTATTCCACTACCTACAAGGGCAGAGCTATTCTACCACGCACAAGGGCAGAGATATTCCACTACATACAAGGGCAGAGCTATTCAACCACGTATAAGCGAAGAGCTATTCCACTAAGTTCAAGGGCAGAGCTAATCCACCACGTACAAAGGCAGAGCTATTCAACTACCTACAAGGGTAGAGCTATTCAACTACGTACAAGGGCAGATCTATTCCACTACATACAAGGGCAGAGCTATTCCACTAGGTACACGGTCAGTATTATTCCACTACCTACAAGGGCAGAGCTATTCAACTACGTACAAGGGCAGAGCTATTCAACTACGTACAAGGGCAGAGCTATTCCACTACGTACAATGGCAGAGATATTCCACTATGCACAAGTGCAGAGCTATTCCACTAGGTACACGGTCAGTATTATTCCACTACCTACAAGGGCAGAGCTATTCCACTACGTACAAGGGCAGAGCTATTCAACTACGTACAAGGGCAGAGCTATTCCACTACGTACAATGGCAGAGATATTCCACTATGCACAAGTGCAGAGCTATTCCACTACCTACAAGGGCAGAGCTATTCCACTACGTACAAGGTCAGATCTATTCCACTACGTGCAAGGGCAGAGCTATTCCACTACGTACAAGGGCAGAGCTATTCCACTACGTACAAGGGCAGAGCTATTCCACCACGTACAAGGGCTGAGCTATTCCACTACATACAAGGGCAGAGCTATTCCACTACGTACAAGGGCATAGTTATTCCACTACGCACAAGGGCAGAGCTATTCCACTACGTACAAGGGCAGAGCTATTCCACTACGTACTAGGGCAGAGCTATTCCACTACGTACAAGGGCAGAGCTATTCAACCACGTACAAGGGCAGAGCTATTCCACTACGTACTAGGGCAGAGCTATTCCACCACTTACAATGGCAGAGCTATTCCACTACGTACAAGGGCAGAGCTATTTCACTAAGTACAAGGGCAGGACTATTCCAGTAGGTACAAAGGCAGAGCAATTCTACTACGTACAAGGGCAGAACTATTACACTACGTACAAGGGCAGAACTATTCCACTAAGTACAAGGGCAGAGCTATTCCACTAAGTACAAGGGCAGAACTATTCCTCTACGTACAAGGGCAGAACTATTCCACTAAGTACAAGGGCAGAGCTATTCCACTAAGTACAAGGGCAGAACAATTCCACTACGTACAAGCGCAGAACTATTCCACTACGTACAAGGGCAGAACTATTCCACTAAGTACAAGGGCAGAGCTATTCCACTAAGTACAAGGGCAGAACTATTCCACCAAATACAAGGGCAGAGCTATTCCACTACGTACAAGGGCAGAGCTATTCCAGTACGTACAAGGGAAGAGCTATTTCACTACGTACAAGGCAGAGCTATTCCAAAAAGTACAAGGGCAGAGCTATTCCACTACGTACAAGGGCAGAGCTATTCCACTACCTACACGGTCAGAGTTATTCTACTACTTACAAGTCAGAGCTATTCCACTACGTACTAGGGCAGAGCTTTTCCACTAAGTACAAGGGCAGAACTATTCCACTAAGTACAAGGACAGAACTATTCCACTAAGTACAAGGGCAGAGCTATTCCACTACGTACAAGGGCAGAGCTATTCCACTAAGTACAAGGGCAGAACTATTCCACTACCTACAAGGGCAGAGCTATTCCACTACCTACAAGGGCAGAGCTATTCCACTACTTACTGTTGTATTGTCCACTTATTATTGCCCTGAGAAATCACGAAGAAAAAGACCGGAGAACTCACTTCCAACATTGAATAGATCTCACTGCAGATTGATCTACCAAGATCATCTAATAGATTATAGATTGATCAGTTCAATCTGATAGGACTGAAAGCATAAATTCTAATACAACGAAAAACGACTATTATGATGAATGTTAGACATAACGGGAAAGCAATACACTTAATAACTTATAACGTAGACTTGAAATCATATGAACTTTGCTTTTTATACATTTGATTATCATATATTACTTGTTTATAAATACGTTTTTATTACTGACGAAATTGTGTTGTGAAGGTTTTGATCGCTAGGCATAAATAAAATAACATAATGATGTCCCTTTGTGTGGATCCTACATGATGTCCCTTTGTGTGGATCCTACATGATGTCCCTTTGTGTGGATCCTACATGATGTCCCTTTGTGTGGATCCTACATGATGTCCCTTTGTATGGATCCTACATGATGTCCCTTTGTGTGGATCCTACATGATGTCCCTTTGTGTGGATCGTACATGATGTCCCTTTGTGTGGATCCTACATGATGTCCCTTTGTGTTGATCCTACAGCCCTACTAACAAAAGTCTCTTCACCACATATATAGTGCGTTCCAAATGAAATATATCAAAATCATGCTCCTGTGAACTGATCGATAGAAACGCAAAAACCAATCCATTGGATCTTCAAAACAACATTTGTTCTTATTTTACAATCCAATCCCATATCGCAATACAATCTGTCAGATTTAACCAGAATGAACGTTTACACGTCATACATCCTGGACACATTGATCTAGTGAGGAGTGAAGCACTGCTATAGAGTTACTAGCAGACATTTCCACGCCATACACACAAGATTTCCAAACTACAATTTGCCCATTGCATAGAAAGTAGAATAGAGAGCCACTTTTAATTCAATTAGAATATAGGGCCATGTGTACTGCCTTACGTTATGCATGTAGCATATAGGTCACGTGTAGTGGCATGACGCTAGGTATATAGAATATTAGGTTACGTGTACTGCCACGAAGTTAATCGTCTGACTTTGGCCTAAACCAAAATTAGGCTAAAAGTAAAAATGACTTTCTGCCAAAACCGAAGCTGCTACCAAAAGCGTAATGAAACTTTCGGCCGAAACTGAAACCACAACTGAAACTGAAATATTTAGATATTTTGAATTTCGTTCACGCATACATGCTGCATTCATCAAAAAATGCTGGGGCAAATATCAATATTTCCATTCGTTCTATAAACAATGAGATCATCGTGAATATAAATAATCATCATCAAGTGCAGGGGTCTCAAACTCACGGCCAATTTCCGGCTAAAAAGACGATAGTTTGCGACCGCAACATGACAGCAAAGTTTAGTGTTAATGCGCGTGACGCGTTTTCCCTATATGCGACGGTTTCAGCCGAATCACACCGACTAGTCTACTTCTGATTTATTTGTATTATGTATATATATGTGTATGTTAATTATAATGGTTAAAATCGTTTTAAAATGGGACTAAAAGATTTAATTTTATAGCGTTGTATGAGACAAACATGAGCAAAGTGCGGTTTTGAGAAGTTTGAAGAGTCAGTTGGTGGGTAATGCACAGCCATAATTGCGTAAATAGTACCATTCTGACACAGTATCAAAGAATCTCTATTGAAATTGCTGCTAGTGTTTCCAGGTGAAGGGAATTCCGAGCCTGTCAGCCTAGTCACTTTCAAAAGGTTTAGTCATAAAGGCCTTTGTTACTATACAAAATCTAAATTTATTCTCTCTACAGTAGCATATTCTTTAGCACCAATAATTCATAAATATTGTCTGCTCCTTACTACTACTTGAACACGTTTTAGCATCAAAAGCCTTCATGTAGAAGATTAGGGTGGTTGATCCTGTACTTAGTGTTCCCAAATAGCCAATGAGCTGAATGTACTCAACAAGACGTTAAAAGACCCAGGGTAGATTTAATGTGTAGCCTATGACAACAACTTGTGTTATGGTACTTAGAGAAACGTCTGCCATTTCCTAACATACAAAGTACTCATGGAATTCGGCACACCATTCAGTAGTAAAAATACTGATGCCATTGCAAAGCTTCAGAATGAATTTGATCACATGTTTTAGACTTCAAAACACACAGAGCAACTTTTTATAACTCTTTTTTCTTTAATGTCAAAGATGCCCCCACTTTTTACGCTTTAAATGGAGCTAATATCTTCAGTGTAATTCTAAGTTCAGTGAGGTGAAAAGAAAAACAGACTAGCATGGATGTCAAGGGTATGAGAATCACTGTTGTTATGAGTAGAGCATTGTTGTCATGTTTTATTGGGAAAAGATAATGAGTTGGAGATTTTACGTGTAGCTGTATCATTTGTGTGAGAGTGTTGTGACGTAATTGTGTTATGGGAAGTGACGCGTTAGTTTTAGTGTTGTTGGAGAAGAGAGATGGCCATTGTGCACTATTCAAGACATAGCTTCTTGTGTGATGTTTCTATGTGTGAGGATTTCAACTAGATATATTGTGAAGTTGAACGTTTACAAGCTTTATAGCGAAGTACACTGATTGTCATGTTAAAGAGGCATATTAAATGTATATATTGTATCGAGCAGTTGAGTGTTTGTTGAACTGGAGACTATTACTATTGGTTGTGCTGTTCGGTGATAAAGTGTGAGACTGGGCTGGATGAATAGACACTCATTGCCATGAGTGGATGATTTGCAACACAAAAGATACAACGTCTCGGCAATGAACAATTTATGAGACAATTGCCATCCCACTTCACTGAGTTTTCCAAATTGTTTATTAAAACACATCGTTCAACAACACTATTAATCTAAAAGCTTTATAATACCTCTTTTGTTATCTTTATCTATGTTATTTTTAATGTCGTCTTTGATGTCGTCTTCAAAATAAATCAATCAAATAACACAAATAGCATGGACAACAACAAGGGAAATTAAAATTAAATTAAAATCAAGTTTAGAAATCAAAGTGAAGTAATTTAATAACAAAAAATGAATAAGTAATTATTGGGTTATCTCCCCTTCCAACCGCCATTATATAACCGCAAACCGCCAAGAAATACCCACCAGCCCGCCAAAACCGCCCTGATTTGTACACCCTATACTACTCTCATGGGGTAAGTTTATGGCGTTCAAGACCAAGGACCGGAGAATTAAAAAAATAAAACGGGAATTGAAATCATCGACACGAAATGACGTCATGGAAAGAATGTTTAAATATGGATACAAAGACGCTGTCTGTGTCAAGAGGGCTATCCATAGTTTAGTAAGGATTTTGTCTTGTCAACTTAGCTCATCTAAGTTTAACATAAAGTATGCCCAACCCTTAATAGAACCACCAATTAAAAGAAACATTCACGATCAATACACTCGAAGGCATACATTGAATACAGTTACGTCACCTTGTGGGCGTTATGTCTATTACTGAAATGTCATTGACAGACTGTTAGCTAAATTTATGGATTGAGATGAGCAAACAATGAGGAACAATGGTCGTGAAGCAGTGGTTCTCAAACTATCAAAAGTTTCGCGACACGCGATTGTCAACTATATCTGCCCACATTAGGTCTACTCTAACTGTATACCTCAGGCCTATTTTAACTGTATACATAAGGTCAGCTATTGCATTTACATACTGTGCACATAATGGACAGCTTTTGACACGTGAACCAAATAAAATCTCTCTTTCGAATAGCACAAACTTCCAAAATAATGTACCGCCGTCTCGGCAGGGTTCATGGGATTTGGAGGAAGGATGAGGGAGGTTGTCGAGCGTAATGACTGGGAACAGCCATATGGACCCAATTCATAGCTCTAGACTGGTAACGTTACTGTGCACATATTTTAGAACCCCTCTTTTGTAGGGACTACCCCCACTTTGTTCAGAAATAAGTTGAGCTGGGTAGTTAAAATCACTAGTCAAGCAACACAGACCCAGAAACACACAGTGAACAGTTCCAATGTTTCGATTTGTTTTCCTATTGGCTTGTTGGCTGGCATTACTGGATGGTGAGTACTTAATATTAAATAACTTATTCTGTGCAGTGTTACAGAGGAGGCGTCACTAAAAGGTAAATGTGATGGATTGTTGCAAGAAGTAAGAGGGCTGCTGGAGGTTTATTGGGGATTTTTAGAGTGGCCTTGACCCTAACAGGCAATCCACAGGCAGCGTGTCCTCTTTCCGAAAACGGGGAGCCTGCGATTGTAAGCTTGTTGTTTGAAAGGCATACTGCTCAGGTGGACAACTCAATTGACTTGTTGTTGGACCAAACACTGGCTATGGCACCAACCATTTGTCTTATGATCTGGGTTCGGATGTAGTTCTTCTTCAATTACCAGCTGCTCGCCTTAATCATCTTATCTTACAATTGCTACTTGACATCCCCTTCTCATCTATCAATGGCCAATCGACATTAACTCCTCTCCTCTCAGTTGCTACTTGACATCAACTCCTCTTCTCTCAGGTGCTACTTGACATTAATTTCTCACTTCCCAGTGTCTGCTCGTTTTAATCATCTCATCTCTTAGCTGCTGCTTATCTTAATCATCTCATCCCTTAAGTGCTGCTTAAATGCCTTAAACATCTCATTCTCATGTGCCAATTTTATCTCATTTTATTAAATCACCAGAATAGTTTCATAGCTGACAGTTTTCTGTGGTAAAAATCAAATCAATTTATTACTTATTTTAAGTCTCTAAGTCGGAGATGCCATCTTTTATGTCAAGTAACGGTTAAATCTCAAGCTACGATTGAATATCAGACTACGGTTGAATGTCAAGCTAATGTTGAATGTCAGGCTACAATTGAATGTGAGAGTACTTTGGAATGTCAAGCTAGGGTTGAATATCAGCCTACACTTGAAAGTCAGGATATGGTTTAATGTCAGGCTAGGTTGAATGTCAGACTACTGTAGAAATCTGACAACATCAAACCAGTTCTACGAGATCTCCATTGGGTTCCTGTGAGTGAGCGCCATCTATGCAGCTGTATGCCAGGGACATAATTTTGTAGTTAATGCGCTCACTTACAGGAATCCAGTGGAGATCACGTAAAACTGGAGTGATGTGGTCAGATTTTTTTCATCAGCGTTCAATGAGTGCTGCAGTATTTTGAATCTTTTGGAGTCTCTAAATGTGGCTCTGAGGTAAACCCAAAAAACAACTATTACAGTAATCTAATCTTGACTGGATTAGAGTTACTGCTACAGGATTAGTTGTTCTCCTATTGAGTTGAGGACGCAGCTGACCCAGGGCACGCAGATGACAGAAGCTTGTCTTGACAACAGAACCGGATATAACACATATAAGATAGACAGCACACATTGCATTATATACTAAATACTTGGTTATCACACTTATAAGACATGCAGCACAGGTAGCTCTGTATTCTACATATTTGGATATATCACTTATTAGGCAGACAAGACACGTGGCTTTATATTCTACACACTTGGATATCACACAAATATAAGGCGGACAGAACGCATTGCTTTATATTGCATATACTTGGCTATCACACTTATGAGACATGCAGCAATCGTAGCTCTATATTCTGCATATTATGATATCACACTTAAACGGCAGACACCACACGTAGCTCTATATTCTACTGACTTAAATATAACACCTATAAGGCAGACAGCACAAGTGGCTTTATATTCTACACACTTGGATATCACACTTATAAAACAGGCAGAACACATAGCTTTATATTGTATATACTTGGATATCATACTTATAAGCCGAACAGCTTGCGTGCACTTAAATTCTTCATAGTAAAAAATGTCAATGCAGCACACGTGGTTCTATATACTCTTCATACTTGACGTCATGGCTGTAAACCTTGCCCTATATTCTATATACTCTTCATACTTGACGTCATGGCTGTAAACGTTGCCCTATATTCTATATACTCTTCAAACTTGACGTAATGGCTGTAAACCTTGCCCTATATTCTATATACTCTTCATACTTGACGTAATGGTTGTAAACCTTGCCCTATATTCTATATAATTATTGCCATCGCAATACACGTGGCCTTATATTCTACATACTTAACGTCATAGCAGTACATAAGCCCCACTATTCTACATACTTAACGTCATAGCAGTACATACGCCCCACTATTCTACATACTTAACGTCATAGCAGTACATAAGCCCCAATATTCTACATACTTAACATCATAGCAGTACATACGCCACACTATTCTACATACTTAACGTCATAGCAGTACATAAGCCCCACTATTCTACATACTTAACGTCATAGCAGTACATAAGCCCCACTATTCTACATACTTAACGTCATAGCAGTACATTAGCCCCACTATTCTACATACTTAACGTCATAGCAGTACATACGCCCCACTATTCTACATACTTAACGTCATAGCAGTACATAAGCCCCACTATTCTACATACTTAACGTCATAGCAGTACATACGCCCCAATATTCTACATACTTAACGTCATAGCAGTACATAAGCCCCACTATTCTACATACTTAACGTCATAGCAGTACATAAGCCCCACTATTCTACATACTTAACGTCATAGCAGTACATAAGCCCCACTATTCTACATACTTAACGTCATAGCAGTACATACGCCCCACTATTCTACATACTTAACGTCACAGCAGTACATACGCCCCACTATTCTACATACTTAACGTCATAGCAGTACATAAGCCCCAATATTCTATATACTTAACGTCATAGCAGTACATACGCCCCACACTATTCTATATACTTAACGTCATAGCAGTACATACGCCCTACTATTCTACATTCTTAACGTCATAGCAGTACATAAGCCCCACTCTTATACATACTTAACGTCATAGCAGTACATAAGCCCCACTATTCTACATACTTAACGTCATAGCAGTACATAAGCCCCACTATTCTACATACTTAACGTCACAGCAGTACATACGCCCCACTATTCTACATACTTAACGTCATAGCAGTACATAAGCCCCAATATTCTATATACTTAACGTCATAGCAGTACATACGCCCCACACTATTCTATATACTTAACGTCATAGCAGTACATACGCCCTACTATTCTACATTCTTAACGTCATAGCAGTACATAAGCCCCACTCTTATACATACTTAACGTCATAGCAGTACATAAGCCCCACTATTCTACATACTTAACGTCATAGCAGTACACAAACCCCACTATTCTACATACTTAACGTCATAGCAGTACATAAGCCCCACTATTCTACATACTTAACGTCATAGCAGTACATAAGCCCCACTATTCTACATACTTAAGGTCATAGCAGTAAATAAGCCCCACTATTCTATATACTTAACGTCATAGCAGTACATACGCCCCACTATTCTATATACTTACCGTCATGGCCGAACAAATGGACCTATATTTTACATACTCACTGTCATGGTAGTACAATGGCCTATAATCAACATACTTAACGTCTGGCAGAACACATGGTAATATTTTCTACATTCTCAAAGTCATGGCAGTACACGTGGTCCTATATTTTAATTGAAGTACACGTTGCCCATAAGTCTACATACTTGACATCATGGCAGTACACGTGGCCTAATAGTCTCCATACTTAACGTCATTGCAGTACACGTGACGCAGTATTCTACATACTTATCGTCATGGAAGTTCACATGGCCCTATAATCTACATACTTGCCGTCATGGCAGTACAAATGGCCCTATCTGGAGGTTTTCGGAGAGTATGTCCTCTCCATACCCATCTTTTCTGTAAGATGTTTGCGTTGATGGGCACCTGGTGAGTTCTTTCTAGTAGATCTTTGTTAGTGATAGTATTTGGTCATTTGATGTTCAGGATTTTTCTAAGGCATGTGTTTATTTATGTATTTATTTATTTAGGCATTTTTATATAGCGCTTACCATAAAGCTCTAAGCGCTTTACAGTTATTAAAACATGTAAACTAAGTAAATAAAAATGAGACACTAGGATAGTAACTACTATACCATAGAAACAATGAAAATGGCTATAACACGAGGACACTTTAACACTTCAGGATCAACCCGAAACAGAAAATGAGGTAGGGCAAGGAGGATGCATCACAGGTCATAGGCGGACCTAAACAGATTAGTTTTAAGGGACTTTTTGAAAATGGACGAGGTTTCACAATGACGGATATGGAAGGGGAGCTGGTTCCAGAACGTGGGCCCATGGAAGCAGAAGGACCGTTCAATGTCTACACTATCTGTGTAAGCTCGATTTTTTTTTAAGTTTCTGCGCCTTGTAGTAGTACTGTTTTAACATTTGTATTAAAGATTGTAACATAGGTTTGCATTTTCAGCTCTTTTGACTCCCATATTTTGTTTTATAGCAAGAACGCAGATTTAGCTTTTACCCTTCTAGCCCTTCCGTCCACTTCGGATCCACCAGTTGTGTCTATGGTACTGCATACATATTTAAAGGACTCCACTTCTTCCAGTGCCTTTCCTGCCAAATAGATTCGGTCTTGATTCTACAGATTACGTCATGGCAGTTCATGTGGCCCTAAAATCTACATACTTAACTTCGTGGCAGTACACGTAACCTAATACTCTATATACCTAGCGTCATGCCAGTACACGTGACCTATATGCTACATGCATAACGTAAGGCGGTACACATGGCCCTATATTCTAATTGAATTACAAGTGGCTCTACATTCTACGTACACAACGTCATGGCAGTACACGTGGCTCTTTATTCCACATACTTAATGTCATGTCAGTTCACGTGTCCCTATATTCTACATTTTTACCGTCATGACAGTACACGTTTTATAGCCATTTTCACTGTTTCTATAGTATAGTAGTTACTATCCTATTGTCTCATTTTTATTTTACTTAGTTTACATGTTTTTAATAATTGTAAAGCGCTTAGAGCTTTATGGTAAGCGCTATATAAAAATGCCTAAATAAATAAATAAATACCCGTGGCCTTATATTCTACATACATAACGTCTTGGCAGTACACGTGGCCCTATATTCTGCATCAGGCCTGCCCAACATACGGCCCACGGGACGCATGTGGCCTGCCAGCACCCTCTTTGCGGCCCGCGAAGTAACAAAATATTTTTTATTCTTATTATTTCCTTAATAGCTTTTCCCCCTGTCTTATTTTCTTTGGGCCCGCACAATTTTTTCATAAAATATTAAGGCCCACTTTACATTTTGAGTTGTGCAGGCCTGTTCTACATACTTGACGTCATGACAGTGCATTTACTCTAAATAATATGACTTCTGGGTTTCTTCAAGTTACTACAAGGAAAAAAAAGGTCTATGTATATGGACAATGCATAGGCATTGATATGGGCATATACAAGTCTTTTACATAGGCATATAAATGGGCATATACATCGGCATATACATGGGCATATACATGGGCATATACATGGGCATATACATGGGCATATACATGGGCATATACATTGGCATGTACATTAGCATATACATGGGCATATCATTAGCATACAGTTATGCACATACATGGATATATACATGGGTATACACAGTGGCATACACATTGACATATACAGGAACATATACCTGAGCATAACCATGTGCATATACATGGGCAAATACTTGGGCATATTTATGCGTATATACATCGGCATATATATAGTCATATAGATGGGAATATATTTGGGCATATACATGGTCTTATACATGGACAAAGACATGGACAAATATGTGGCATATACATGGGCACATAATGGGGCATATACTTGGGCATATACATGGGCATTTACATGGGCCGATACATGGGCGTATAAATGGTCATATACTTTGACATATACATGGTCATAAACATGGGCATAAACATTGACATATACACAGGCATATACATTGTCATATACATGTGCATATAATTGGATATACTTGACTTATACACGGGCATATGTATGTGTATATACATTGATCTGTGCATGGACATAGACATGAGTATATACATGACATATCATGGGCAAATGAAAGGACATGTACATGGGCATATGCATGGAAATATTTGTGGGCAAATAAATGGACATGTTCATGAAATATGAGTGGGAAATAAATGGAAATATACATTGACATATGCATGGACCTAGACATGGGTATATTTGTAGAAAAAAATAAATGTAATAAATATGGAAATATTTGTTGGGAAATAAATTGACATTGACATGAAATATAAGTGGGTAATAAATGGAAAAATACATTGAAATATAGATGGAAAGTACCGTGTAACTCAAATGTTAGATTTGATAAAATTGGATTATTTATGACCGTTTTTAAAGAACCTTTACAACTACACTAATAGGTCATGTTTCCACAGGCCGCAAAAATCGTATACTTTTACAATCCTTGTCATGTTTCCACAGCCACCAATATCAAAGATGAGTTCGATCCTTGCCATAGCTCTAACATCAAGCTGTGCAACAGAAATTATGAGCGAGCGGCCGCTACTGGAGATTGTGAGTAAGTAGATAGTTAAATTTGTGCTGTTGCAACAATTCATAGCTAGCATATAATTTAAGTATGTGCTATATTAAAAAAAAATATAGCCAGTAAACATTTTTAGTAAGTTCTCACTTACCCGGTTAAAAATGCAACTCTGATTTAGGAAATTACAATAAATAACTTCCATAACACATGTCACATCCGAAGAGTGATGTTGTCTCTCAATAGCTAAATTTAAATCTCATCTCACAAAAGGGAGAGTCATTGTGTCTCAATAGCTAGATTTAACTCTCATCTCACAAAGGGGTGAGACAGCATCTCTCAATAGCTAGATTTTACTCTCATCTCACAATGTAGAATGACATTGTCTCTCAATAGCTAGATTGAACTCTCCTGTCACAAAGTGGAGAGACATTGTCTCTCAGTAACTAGATTTAACTCTCATCTCACAAAATGGAGAGACATTGTCTCTCAATAACTAGATCTAACACTAATCTCGCAACGGGAAGATACTTTGTTTCTCAATAGCTAGATTTAACTCTCTTCTCACAACAGGGTGACATTGTCTCTCAATAGCTAGATTTAACAATCATCTCACAAACAAAAGCAATATTATATTGTCTTCAAAAAACTAAATTTAACACTTATTTGCAGCGGGGAGTGACATTATTGATACAAATAGCCAGATTAAACACTCATCTCAGATCGGGGAAAGACATTGTTTGCATAACAGACAGACTTAACACTCATCTCAGACCGTGGAAAGACATTGTTTGCATAACAGACAGACTTAACACTCATCTCAGATCGTGGAAAGACATTGTTTGCATAACAGACAGACTTAACACTCATCTCAGATCGGGGAAAGACATTGTTTGCATAACAGACAGACTTAACACTCATCTCAGATCGGGGAAAGACATTGTTTGCATAACAGACAGATTTAACACTCATCTCAGATCGGGGAAAGACATTGTTTGCCTAACAGACAGATTTAACACTCATCTCAGATCGGGGAAAGACATTGTTTGCATAACAGACAGATTTAACACTCATCTCAGATCGGGGAAAGACATTGTTTGCATAACAGACAGATTTAACACTCATCTCTCTTTCATGGAATGTCATTACTTTCCTTCCGCTCACTGACTACTACATTAATCTCATCCACTCCGTTTTGTCCACAACGGTCAAAAAATAACTGTTTTTTTTCATATTTTCCTAAAATAGACAGATCAAGAAGAGTCTGCCCTGTTTGACCAAGGTTTTAGTATCCTGTTCCTGGAATGCTTTTAATCAGGTCTTCCATCTAAGCAATTTTGACCACATACAAAACTCGATGAAATGTAAGTGATATGATCGTCTTAATGAGGAGCAGGTTTGGGGCGGGAAGAGAATGGGTGAAATCAGGAATGAGATGTAGCGTAATTTGGTTGAGGAGGGATATGTCCCTCATATTTTGTAGGAGTGATATTCGACTAAATTTGGTTTTAGGATCAATATGTGACTCAATTTTGGTGTAGGAGGAAGATGTAGCTAAATGCGAATAAATTTGGTTGTAGGAGGGAGATGTGAGTAAATTTAGTTGTACGGGTGAGGTGGACTACATTATTGTGTAGGAGGGAAATGGGACGATGCTCAAAGAATCAGGATTCATTTCCTGACTGTATTTATTTTGTGACCAGTTTTTTTATTAAGACAAGTCGACAAGAACCAACCACTCGGGGACGTTACACTTGGTACCATGTGGTAGAGCCAAGAAATTACACGATGCTTCAGGGTGACGAATGCAATAAATTATCAAATCTAAGAATATTATTATTAATCATTGCAAAGAATACCATTGGTGTATCAAAGCTAAGAATTTCGTGATTGAATAAAGCAAAGCACATCATGATTGATCAAAGCAAAGTATGTTATAATTGATAAATTTAAAGGAATATCATTATTGATCGAAGCAAATAATGTCATGATTGATCAAAGCAAAGATAGTCATATTTTTTCAAAGCTAAGAATACCAAGACTGATCAAATAAAAAAAATATCATTATTGATGAAAGAATATATGTCACGAGTGATCAGATAAAATGCAATGATTAATCAAGGAAACCATGCTAGGATTTTTATCCAGGTCCATGACTGATCAAAGCAAAAAATACCATGATTGATAAAAAATATCATGATTGTTTAAATAAAAAAAATGCCATGATTGTTCATATAAAAAGAATGATATGTTTGATCAGGACAAAGAAAAGCATGACATATCTGTTTGATCAGTAATGACGACTTTCCATGTGCGTGGCTGGGTGGTCGAGTGGTGTAAACTGAATCAATCGCAAGCTGGTGGTCAGGAGTTCAATCCTTACCAAAGATCAAGTAAAGCTAAAAAAACACCCAGGAAAGATGTGACTTATTAACACTGGTCGGTAACTCATCTAACATCAGCCTCAGGATAGATGGGACCCTTTAACATTGGTTGGCAACTCATTTAACTCCAGCATCCGGATGGATGGGCCCTTTAACCTTGGATGAAAACGCTGAAAGAAAACATGGAGCAGTACCGTATTATACACTGATGTCTAGGGAAACAGCGTATATTTAGTTATAATGAACAACAATATATGTTTGCATATATAAAGTTGATGCTTTTTGTCTTCCAGGTCTTCCACAAGATCTGAGTGACGGGTACGCGGAAGTAATTTAGCAAACTTAAAATTAAATTATTTTTAAGATTATTTTGTGTCTGTTAATGTTTTCTTTTAATTCGGCAAATGCACAAAGACGGTTGTTGTGACCAGTCCAGGTTAATGACATGTCCAGGTGTTTTGACCAGTCCAGGTTATTAACATGTCCAGGTTTTGTGACCAGTCCAGGTTAATGATGTGTCCAGGTGTTGTGACCAGTCCAGGTTAATGATGTGTCCAGGTGTTGTGACCAGTCCAGGTAAATGACATGTCTAGGTGTTGTGACCAGTCCAAATAAATGACATGTCCAGGTGTTGTGACCAGTCCAGGTTTGTGGCATTCCTTACTTTGATAACATGCCTTATTTTTTGCTTGTGTGATATGAATCAGAAATGGATCAAATCATGTCATGTGAGTTTAAAAACAATGGACCTGTTGCAATGCATTAGTAAATTAAAAGTAAAGACCAATTGTCATAATACATACACATTAGGAATTAACTGTCAGAATACATACATTAGACAGATTATTTGCAACAAGTAAAGTCATCCCTAGTTCATCGCGGAAATCAGTTCCAGACTTAATCGCGTTAACCCCCATTTCCACAAAGAGAGATTCTCTATTTATAAATCTAAATATGTTCGTAGTTATAGCATAGAAAACTGTTCACGACCCTCTAAATACTGTCTTTAAGTTTTTTAGACCTTCAGGGTTGCCTGAATAAATAAGGCTAAAGAGCATACGTACAGTAATTTTAATTATGATTGTAATACAGGGATGTATGATAGACCACGGAGCACGTGCTGTTTCATGTTCACCATCTCAATCAAAGTCTTATGAATACATCTTATATTTAAAAACAAAACACGATTGTGTGAAGCCGAAAAATTCGAAGCTTGAAAATACTACTTTATGGGGTGATGTCATGACATTTGTCATTTGTAAAATGTGGCAATGTATTACTCATTAGAAATAAGGATTAATACGCTCTGATAATTACTTCAGCCTGTACAGACACCGTGTGTGCTGGTTCCTAACCTCTTGTTTCGTCAGTTAAAGCGGTGACTGTCCATCCAGTGACCAAAACGTTTCCTTTTGTATTCTATAAAAGGCAGGTTCTATATAAACTACTCGTTTTGGTTATGATAGAGAAGACTGGTAAACAGAAAATTTCTTAGTTATTTCACCGGTCTAACTGGCCTCTTCGTTAATAAAACACCTGCTATCTCCTTGTGTGTTTGTACATTACATTCTATTTTGTGCTGTAACACATGTTATCTCCTTGTGTGTTTGTACATTACATTCTATTGTGTGCTTGTAACACATGCTATCTCCTTGTGTGTTTGTACATTACATTCTATTTTTTGCTTGTAACACATGTTATCTCCTTGTGTGTTTGTACATTACATTCTATTTTGTGCTTGTAACACATGCTATCTCCTTGTGTGTTTGTACATTACATTCTATTTTGTGCTTGTAACACATGTTATCTCCTTGTGTGTTTGTAGAGTACATTCAGTTTTGTGCTTGTATCTCTGTTCATTATAAATATAACTATGTATTCTTTTACGTTAATTATTTATCAAGGTTATGGCATTGACCATTGAAAAGGACAGCAGAAAAGTAAGACATACGGTGACACGTCATGTCTTTTACAGAGCCACGTGTGCGTGTGTTTGCACTAACAGAAATAATTGATATACTCCTAGTTATACACAATGAACTGCGTCAAGTTTAACATAAACTTGGCATGTACACATAGATCAAGTTTGGTTTAAACATTATGCATTCACCAATACCGTATTTGTGTTTAAAAATCATGTGTCCTACTTTTATTGTCATTGAGACAGTAAGTTATAATTTAAGAGGTTGTGTTTTTTTTTTTTTAATTTTTCGTGTTTAAAAAATAATAATATACCATAAAAAAAACTGTATAGAATTTCCCAATCACGAGACAAATAACATTCAAACTCGAGGCAAACTGTGAGATATTTTGATGTGTCCTACTTTTATTGTCATTGAGACAGTAAGTTATAATTTAAGAGGTTGTGTTTTTTTTTTTTAATTTTTCGTGTTTAAAAAATAATAATATACCATAAAAAAAACTGTATAGAATTTCCCAATCACGAGACAAATGACATTCAAACTCGAGGCAAACTGTGAGATATTTTGAGAATTCAGAAAATGTAATTTTTCTAATAAATATACCAATAGTTGGTATATTTATTAAAGAGAATCGTTATAAAATCTTATTTAAACAAAATATAAAAAATAGTTTTTTATATTTTGTTTAAATAAGATTTTATAACGATTCTCTTTCCGTACACAACCCGATCATTGAATTATGAGACTGGCTTCAGGAAAAGCGTTAAGGAAAAAAAAAAAAAAAAGTACACAACCCGATCATTGAATTATGAGACTGGCTTCAGGAAAAGCGTTTAGGAAAAAAAAAAAAACGTTAACAGCTTCATTAAAAAAAGAGGAAAGAAACAATAAAAAATTCGTTCTAGTCTAATAATTTTGTTAGTATTAATGGTGGAAGTGCATGACGTCACATAGTCGATTCTCAAAGCGTTTCATTTAATTTCCACTAATGAACTAAGAACTAAAAGAATGAGAACCGCTAACAACCAAACTAGCGAACATTAGAACCATTTCCTGATGCCAACAAGAGAAGCTTTACTCAGGGTGGGAGCCACTGTTGACCTTTTCCTAGTTAACAGCCACTTATCTTAGTGGCTGAGGGACAGAAGTCATGTTTCAGCAGAGGTTTCAAGAATTGTGACATCACAACCAAAATGATGACGTAGTGCTGTCCTGGAGCAGCACAGACCCCGAGCTCACTCAAATCTTTTGTCCACCAAACAGAAAATTGACATGTTTAAAAGTTGGGCATATAAGGGCAGATAATTCTAATGCACTGCCAAAACGAAATTTGTTCCGGCGCAAGTCCTGGTCTTACACCGCTGTTGAAACGTCTGCGAAACTCTGATGAGCAGATTTCGTGCGGCTCTGTCCATTGTTAACTCCCCGTTACTTCGCTTGACTGCTGAAAGAACGACGGTTGGTGTTGTCCATAGACATATAGAAATATTATAGCTCTGTGGTGTTGTCTCATGTCTGCAACAACGGCACTCATAAAATTAATGTTTGGTAAAAATTTCTTTAGGAAATCCAAAGTTCCCGCCTTGCCCACACGTATTTTCCTAACTGTGATCATCACAACTTTTCGGCACGAGGTATACTGTATATAAATCGTGTTGTCCAGACTTGATGTTGCGGTCAAGTCGAGCCCCAGAGAAATGTCTGCCAACACGACGGACGAGTGCATGAGAACTAATAAAAAAAGAAGAAATTGTTTTAAAGAAAACCACGTTCATTACGTTTTGTTTGATGCACTGCAACAGGAGAGAAAATTCAAAGGGGTACATTTTAATACTTTGTTACTTGTCATTTGTCAATATTTGAAGCCTGTTACACGAAAGAGTGGTCCAGGTAAAACGAGTGTTACGAGCACGAATCGTCAACGTAATCAGATTTTTACACGTACGATTGGTCATGGTAATAGATTGTTACAGGTACAATGCGTCAATGTAAGAAGCTTGTCATATGTACAACTGGTCAAGATCATTAGCCTCCGACAATAATTAAGTATTTTATTTTATGTTTGT